ATCAGTATTACACAAAATTTCGTTCATTTGTCTGAAATTCGTTTGTTCTTGCCTAAATGTTTTGCATATCATCCCTTAGTGTTCTCAGTTAAACTGCACACTCTTGTACTTGCCTCCAAGCCTGAAGTTGTTTGAAGGTAGTCTGATATAGGTGTTATATGATGGAAAATGAACATGAATGTGTGAGTAGTGAAAATTGTTTCCTACCTCCATCATCCTTTGTTGTAGTGGCAGCATCATGTGATTGTAAATGCTGCAATATAACTAGAAACTTTATAAGATCTGCCAAAACAGTTTTGAATTGGTCTGTAAATATCCCAAAATGCAGCAGATAATGCATTTGATTTTCCTAATTAACATGTTTTACCTATCAGCTTAATTCTCTTTAATTTGCTCCTGACTAGCACTCTGTTTCCTTTTTACCGATATTCATTCACTTCTAGTAACTTTTGAAGAACTTTACGTTTTTTTTGCAATATATTGAACAATGATATTGCTGCAACAATATTGTTGAGTTTATCACAATTAAAGTACATGTACATAGCACCCCATACGGACGTCTGTATCTTTGGTAGTAGAGAGTTTTGCCTGAAAGCCACTCTACTGCCCATGGCAAGTTGATGCTCCACTTGTGCTGGTTGAGACATTCTTGTTTATATCAGTGTTGTAATATCCAAACATGCTTTTTACTAGATTAAACCGTTCTTGTCCACTACCACTGTGGCCAAGGGAGGGAAATGAGAGCAAACAGCCTTTCAATTACTTTCACACCAAGCACATACCATAAAACTACAGCACATTGGTCACTTGTAGTGATGTCTTGTGTGGAATCGGTCTATACTGAGTAAAAATAAATGTTTTTAGCTTCATCTGATATAACTTTCTGGATCATATTCTTTATTAAGACAAGCATCTTGTTGACTGTTGTTTTATTGATGAAAGTAATTGAAGCCCCTTTTCCAGTAGCTTCAGACTTTTTTGTGTTCCTTATAGTTAGCAATCACTTTGCTCAAATGCCTTGAGAGTAACATGTCATAGTGACTCAGAAGTGTTATCATTATCAATAAAACGCCATGATTTATTTCACATTTTGTCCACCTTGTATGCAGCTTCACCTTTGAGTCCTCTAAATAGAAGATCAAGCTTTTTAATGATCCTGATAACAGCAATAATTCTATCAACAATTTTATGATTATTCTGAACTTCAAGTTCTCGTTTATTGGTAAGTATGCCATATACATAAGACAATATGTTTCCTCCTTTAATATTAATCACATGCACAATTTTGCATATGTTCCTTAGATTCTTGGAATATTCTCAAGTGGTTGAACTGGATGTTGGGCAAAACATTTGTTGTGGGTATTGTGACTTGATGGTTTAGAAAATATGTTCACACCATCAGAGATTTCACTTTCATGAGATCGTGTCATCTGCTGCTGTCTCTGTGTCGTATTTCTCACTACTATGTGGGGTTGCAGTAACATCATCATTCATCATTGCATGAATGAACAGGTCACATAGTTTCAGGAGTTTTCTTTGTGATCAGTTGCTTGTAAAACCTGTTGATTGTTTTGAAATGTTGGAAATAATTTTATGGTTCTCTTTCTATGATATATCGAATAAATGAATAGATGTTGAAGAATTATCTACACTTGGACAAAACTAACCATTAAACACAACATTCCTGTCAAAGTCAAATTCTCTCAAAAACCCAGCCCTAAATTAAAATTGTTACTAAACAAAAATTATTTAAAATCACACGGTACCAACTTCATTTACAAAATAACATGCAATAACTGTCCAGAATTCTATATTGGAGAAACAGGAAGAAAATTGGAAACCAGATTCACAGAACACAATCAAAAACCGTCCCATGTTTTCCACCATTGCAAATAAAAAACCATAGTATATCTATTAAAAACACAGTAATTTTAAACAAAGAATCAAACATAAACAAACAAAAAATCAAGGAATCCATCTTAATTGAACAAAATATCCCTACCCTAAACCAACACCCTAGGGTGCTAAGATATCTCTTCTAAGTCGTGCAACATTATCCGGTCATGTGACCTCTTTATTCCATACGTTTCCGGACATGGGTTCGAATCCCACTCCTGACATAACCATTTTCGATTTCCGGACACTGGAAGGATTGACAGGCAGCCGTTGTTCCTTAGATCGTACTTTACTACTTGGATAACTGTGGTATTTCTAGAACTAATACATGCCGGCATAGGATTTTTAGATCCCTGCCGCCCTGATGGACCATCTGTCCGATATCGGCCGTTTAGTTTAGTCTAGTTTACTTTGCTCTTCACTTTTTACTGTCTACAATTACTCTCTCTCTATCTTTTTAAAAGTACATACCTAGTCTACATGAATTTACTATTTTCTCATGATAAGCCCATATTTCTAGACCACGAGCGGGGTGATGGAGGATTGTTTAATCTTCGAGCACCCCAGATTAATAATTATTTCTTCGGAAATAATTATTTTTAAATCTAAATAACTGCCAGGGAAAAACAAAACGCACCATACGATTCCAGACCCCTACTAGCTTACGGCGCAATAGTTACATGCAACATGCACAATAATCAACGAAGGATTTTCTAAAACCTCCAAAACAGTGTCATACGTTTCGCTTATCGCCTTCCTCGAAACACACCTGCATGCTACACCGAAAGACACACCTCACTACACATTTTACAAACTCGCATCACTAAACTTACTACCAAATATTGCAAAAAAAGCCATCTACCGAAATTCACTCACAGCTGAATCTCATAAAATTGCCGCCACCCCCAACCATGGTGCAAATATCTATCCCCTTACAATCTGTTACAGAGCATCACCTCTATACAATAATCCTGAATAACTTCATTATTATATGTATTCTATGGATAACACGTTTTTTCTTCAGTCTTTTTT